TGTCTATTTTGCTGCAGAAAGACCTAAATGTACTTTGCTGCAATACCGAGTATTAATAATTCCTTACATTTATACAGTTCCTCACATTCCTTACATTTACATTCTGTAGTACTTATCCACCACCTATGTGCAGCATCCACCTGGATGATGCAACAGCAGCCATATTGCACCAGACCGCATACTACACATCAGCTGAATGGTGAAGCAGAGAAAGAAAGGGAAGGTGCAGCCAATTATGATATGGGAAGGTTTAGGAGGCCATGATAGACAGAGGCCAGTGGGCAAATTTGGCCACGATCCTGGGGTTAAACTCTTACTATTTTCAAGGACGTCCTGGGATTTTTAATGACCACAGAGAGTCAGGACCTCGGTTTAACATCTTATCAGAAAGACGGTGCTCACTGAGGAGTATAGAGTCCCCTTCACTATACTGGGGCCTTAGGACCCACACAGACTGCAGGTTGAGCACCCCCTGCTGGCCTTACTAACAGTATTAGAGTCATGAGAGATTCATTACATCCATTGTAAAAATAATGTTCACTAAATGTATGATCACTTTTCTCTTTAAATGCATACACTTTTTAAACTTTGATTAACGTTTTATTAGTTTTGCGTTTTAAATTAATTAATTTTGATAGCCTGTAAAGTATTAATTATAAAAATTGTGTTCAATATAAATAAGAAATAGATGTTTGAACAGCTTAATTAATTTATTTATTTTTTTGTACATTTTATCATTTTTTAATACTTTAATATTTTATTGGAGCACCAAAAACTAATTTTCATCTTTCAATTTCTAATTATGTTTGGTGACTAAAATCTTTTTTTAATAAATATATCCGTTTAATAAATCTGTTTTGTTTAAATGCACCAAAATGCATTGCCTATATTCACTGAGGAATAGATAAAAACATAGGTTTTCATAATGAACTGTACTCCATTATGCAGAGCACTTTATATACATATATATATATATATATATATATATATATATATATATATACACTGTATAGCTAAAGTCAGAATTATTACCCCCTTTAGGTTTTATATATATATATATATATATATATATATATATATATATATATATATATATATATATATATATATATATATTCTGGAGAAAGTCTTGTTTGTTTTATTTCACCTAGAATAAAAGCAGTTTTTAGTTTTTTTTAAAACTACTTTTTTTTAAGTCAAAATTATTAGCCCCTATAAGTTATATATATTTGATAGTCTACAGAACAAACCATCATAAAACAATAACTTGCCTAATTACCCTAAACTGCCTAGTTAACCCAATTACCAAGTTAAGCCTTTTAATGTCACTAATGTAATGTAAGCTGTACAGAAGTAAATATTATTATTAGAAAAAACATTATGTGCTGTCATCATTGCAAAGATAAAACAAACCACTTGATATAAGTAAGTTATTAAAACTATTATGTTTAGAAATGTGTTGAAAAAAATCTTCTCTCCATTAAACAAAAATTGGGGAAAAAATAAACAGGGGGACTAATAATTCAGGAGGGGTTATAAATATATATAAATGTAAATACAAAAATGCTTTATATAATAAATTATGTATGTAACTAAATTGATTTTTTTAAAGATAAAACCACTTTGTGTAGTAAATTGTAAATCTTGTGATGCTCCAGCACGTTCAGGTTCCTTCCTCATCTGTTGTCCCATCATTCCGACACCGGGGCTAATTTAACAAGGGAGAATTAAGAGTGTAAAAAGTGCTTACACAAAGGTTTCCACGTTATTTGCTTGGAATTGATTTTAACACTTAAACAGAATCCTAACTAAGGGCTTATGTGGACCAGGCCATCTGCATTTCTCCAGACACACACACACACACACACATACACATATACATGCTGGTCTACTGACATCTAGAAACGCAGAAGCTGGCAATGTATTTCCAAACAAAGCATAATTTGTTTATTTCTACCCAACAAACATGCTGTACAGCGTCCTTATGAGCGATTAGCAATGTTGTTCTTCAAAGGTCCTTAAGAGGAGTTTGATGCAGTTCTCGCCCGTCCTCCCATTAATCCAAGCTCAGTTAAGAGTCTGCCATCTGGACGTGTGTTGCCAGCGATAAATATGATTTAGAGTTGATTCCGACATGCGAGTGAGTGTGTGTGGATTTCAGAATTAAAGAGCACAAACAAATGTGGAGTACAGAGTAAATTAATACCTCTCATTTCAGAGCTCCATAACAAAACCCCACCCTTAATTACAGCCTGTAATCATTTCCCCAAACACAAATATCAAGGAATTCAATTACCATCACAGAGCTCTTGCAAAAATAAACTGATGGCATAACTATAAAATATCTCCTCACACGTGTCTGGATGATTCGGGACGTTCCTCGAGGCATATAAAACTGTACACTAGTTGTTTCTTGACTACTGCATATGGGGATATAGTTATTTTTGCATCTGACATCATTTTGTGGAAGTGTAACGGCATGTGTGAATATCAGATAATGTTAGATCTAATTACCTTCCGTTTGAGCCTCGGTTGTTTTTCAGCTGTGCCAAGCAACAGTGACCTCTACAGGGACTGAAGATGGAAAAGACAGATACACTTTTGACTTCCTGCTGGAAACTCCTTGAAGGGAAGAAAAACAGAGGATCTTGAATAAGAAAAAAAAAAACATATTAAAAAGCTATAAATCACTGTGAATTAATTAAAGGTTAAATAAATATGGTGTAAAAATACTAGGCAGATTGTGATACAAAACAGTAGAGTACATGCAAAGTACAGGACAATAAAAATAAAACAAATGAAGAGTTTAGATGTAAAAATCTCTGAAATTCACTTGATATTTTCTTCTAAAATTAGCATTTTTCTCTGACTCCCATGTGTAGGCTCAGTAATTTAACTTTTATAGTGACGAACAAGTTCTTATTGCCTTTCAAGTGAAATAACTGAACATAAACATAGAAGGCTGATTAAAAAATGCTCATTTTAGGTGAACATTTCCAACAGCATTTACAGGTTTTTGCATTTGAACTCTTCAAATAAAAATAGAAGCCTAATTTATTCCTTTATCAGGTTTTACAGACTTTTTAAGACCATTATGAAGAAAATTCCAGACTTACGCAGGGCTAAAAGCTAAGGATTTTTTTCTAGTTGCATGGTTGGGCCAATAAAAATGATTTTAAGTTGCCTCATTGAAACAATTTTAATTTAGTAATATCTTAACCACATATTTTAAATGTCAAAACAAGCTAAATCTAGTTAAAATCTTTGCAAAACTATAATAAACTAAATGTATGCAAACAAAAGTTATTGTAAGAAAGATAATTACACAATATTGGTAAATAGAGTTAAATATTTAACTATTAGCAAAAGTTTTATTTAGATTAGATTATTTGTTGAGTGGTTGGTATGACTGGGTAACTTTACATAGACGAAAATTAAGACCTGTTAATTATCTAAGACCTACAACTCAATTTCAGTAAATTTAAGACATTATGTTTTGGAAATTTAAGACATTTTAAGACTTTAAGACCCCGCAGACACAGTTTATGTGTTATATTTCCAGTAGTTCATGCTTTTTTTAAATACTGTATGTATTCTGTAATGTTTAAAGTTCATAAAAATAATAAACAAAGATTTTCACAAAATTATATCTAAATTATTGTTGTTTTTTTGTATTTTGTATTATTCATTTTCATAATTAATGTCAATATTATTATTTCATTGGAATTGTTGGTAAAATGTACTAGCAATTTCTTAATAACATATTTTATTTTTGTACATTTATTTGATATATTTTTATAATTTATATTTTTTATTTTATATATTTTTATATTTAGTTTTTTGGATTCTCGGTTTCAAAATACATATTTGTTATTATCAACGAATGTATGAATGTACATGAATGAATTTTACTTCTATTATTATTTTGCATTAATATTTATTGAAGTACCCAAAAGAAAAATTAATTTTATGTTTTTATTCAACTTCTGCAACTCTATAGTAATATAAATTAGATATTTTTGTTTCTATATTTTTACATGTAAATTTTTATATAATTTTTATATTATAATAATATTAACATTTATTTTTGTCAACTAATATAAAGTCGCAATTATTAGCCCCCTTTTGAATAGTTCTAGAGAAAGTCTTATTTGTTTTAGCTGCTAGAATAAAAACAGTTTTTAATTTTTGAAAACCCTTTTAAGGTGAAAATTGTTAGCCTCTATGTATTTTTTCGATACTCTACAGAACAAACCATTGTTGTACAATAACTTGCATAATTACCCTAACCTGCTCAGTTAACCTAATTAACCTAGTTAAGCCTTTAAATGTCACTTTAAGCTGTATAGAAGTGTCTTGAAAAATATCTAGTCAAATATTATTTACGGTCATCATGGCAAAGATAAAATAAATCAGTTATTAGAAATTAGTTATTAAAACTATTATGATTAGAAATGTGTTGGAAAAATCTTCTCTCCGTTAAACAGAAATTGGTAAAAAAAAAATAAACAGGGGGGGGGGGGGGGTGGGGGGGGGGGTTAATAATTCCGACTTCAACTTTATATATAGTAAAAATAAAAAAATAAATAATAATAAAAAATAATAAATATATATATAAAGTAATTGTGTTATATAGTATATAAGTAAAAATATTCCATATAATTGTGAAATTTAGTAGCGATACACAGATGCAAAATATGCATAGAATTAAACCTGCAATTACATTCTGTAAATGAATTTGCATTCAAAAATAAATAGTATTTATTACTTATTTCATTGTTTTATTTATCCAAACAGTCCCTAACCATACCCACATCCCACCTCAGCAACAACAAAATAGTTTTTTAATGCAACATTTTTGTGTTTTTATTTATATTGTTGTTTTCTAATGCAAATAAATATTAGATTTTTTTAAATGGTAGAGAATAATAATTACCGCCATCCTATCATCTATTCTATCGTTTAGTACATAATAAACTAAGATGGTTTTATCTGTCCAGTGGTGCAGGAGCTAATCTCCCTGAAGATGAAGTCTTGGACAGGTCCAGGTGTAACGCCAGCAAAACCAGCAAGTGTTGCCAAGACATTTCTCCCTCGCTTCTAAACTTCAGCACAGGAGGACAAAGTGCCTTTCACAGAGAGAGAGAGAGAGACGGGAGAAAAGAGAGGGTGCCAAACAACACTAGCCACAGCCAAAGGGCCGTATCAAGCCGGAGGAATGACTGATGGAAAGATAAGGGACAAACCAAAGAGAGCAGACCAAACAGGAAAAGCAGGCGAGCAGCAAATGGACGGGGTGTAGCCGGAGCGCATGGTGGACGCTCACGTTGCATGGATCTGCTTTTGTTTAGTGCACACAAGAAAAGCACTTTTTTTGTCTAATAAAAAAAACATTCCGGTAACTTTTCTCTTTGTGGTGGATGTAAAAAAAAAACAAAAAAAAAACAACTGAATAGCATTTCTAGGTCTCTGTGATGTTTTATAATCTGTAATCTGAATTGCCGAATGCAGTCATAAAAATGGATTTTACTGTATAAAGTAATGGAATGTGCCCAATTTTAAAAGAATAAATAAAAAATAATACAGTAAACTTAATCAAATCGCATTATTAAAATACAGAAAAGGCTATCACATAACGATCTTAAATAAATTCAGTTGTTTTTACAGTAACATTTATAATCTGTAGGTGATTTTGTCTTTACCTTCCACACACAGTTAGAATTATCTTATCTCTTGAATACTAAAGAAGGTTTTTGAATAAAGCTTTTTAAAGGACTTTTTCAAGATATCTTCTTTTGTGTTCAACAGAAGAAAAAAAACAGGTTTGGAACAAGTGGAAGGAGAGTAAATGAAAACAGAATTTTTAAGTTTTGAGCGAAATATCACTTTAACTTCTTCAAAATACATGCTGTTTTGTTCATTGTTGAAGCATTGGACTGTAAAACCATCAACTTTATCAAATGAAATGAGTGTAGTTAACTCAAAATTTACTGACAGTTAATTCTCATTTGAAAAGAGTTTTGAACTCAGTGTTAAAGATAATGAGTTAATTTTTTACCTCATTACTTCAACTTAAAAGGAGTAAGTTCACAGTACTCATATAGATTCGTTTTTTACTCAAATGGTTTGCTGCAATCGGTTTCCTAAAACGGTTTAAGTTGCCTTAACTAATTGGGTTTTACAGAACTCAAATTGCGGTAACACTTTATAATAAGGTTTATTAGTTAATGCATTTACTAACATGAACTAATCATGAACAACACATGTAAAGCATTTATTAATCATAATTGAACATTTACTAATGCATTATTAACATCGAAGTCCATGCTTGTTAACATTAGTTAATGCACCATGAGTTAACAAACTAACAATTTTCATTAACTAACGTTAACTAACATGAACAAATACAGTAGTAAATATATTGTTCATTATTTGTTCATGTTAGTATATTAAGATTAACTAATGAACCTTATTGTAAAGTGTGACTCAAATTGCTTTGTGTACTTAAATAGATTAAGTTCACAGTACTCATTAGGATTAATTTTTAAACTTAAATGGTTTGTTGCAGTCGATTTACTTGAATGGTTTGAGTTACCATAACTTATTGGGTTTTACAGTGGATGAATACAGATATTAAAATGCTACACATGGGAAATTATACTATATTTACAATAAGTAGAAATGTTTGAGAAATAAATCTCTATATCGATCATTTCTCTATACAGATATACAGTAGATCGTCTCCTACACTAAAATACAAATTTCATTGGATTTACTACATTTAAAGTAGCTGCAAGCGATTTATATGGGCTGAATTTAAACAAACAAATTTAGTTTAACATTGCTAAATTTCATTTGTTTAACAATTGTGCAACGATTGTTTTAGTGTATATTGTAAAATAAAATGTGCTAAACAAATAAAAAAAATTAAATCATGAAAACATTTTAAATACATTAAAAAACACAATATATTTCATAGCGTACCTAAAGACATAATAGTATAAGCTGTAAAATGATCTAAAATTAATATTCAATCATAAAATGTGAAATTGATTATATGACTTTAATTAAAATGAAGCTTTTTGATATATTGAAAACTGGGGAGGGAAATGAAATTGCAGTTTCGGAAAAATATGTTTTTAAATAAGTTGCATCTAGTAAGCAGATCACTCAAGCATAATGAGTACATAACATATTTACTAATAATATTTAAGCAATCAATCTCTGTATCAATCAGATGTATACAGTAGATCCTCTCCTACACTGAAAAAAATATACATTTGATTAACTACATATTTCAGGTAAGTGGTTGCAAACAATTTATTTGGGCTGAATTTAAAGATTTTTGAAGAAATTTAAGATTACTAAATTGATTTTGTTTGTTTAAATTCAGCCCATTTAAATAGTTTACAACAATTTAGCAAAAAAATAATATTTATATGCCAAAATAAAATGTGTTAAAAAACTAATCTTTTAAAACATTTTAAATGGATTAAAAAATACAAAATACATCATAGAGTACCTAAAGACATAATTGTATAAGCTGTAAAATGTCTAAAACAAATATCCAATTATAAATTGTGAGATTGTTTGTGGGGGGAGGGGGAAGGGATATGTTTTTAAGTTGCATCTAGTAAGCAAATTGCTCAAGCATAATGAGTACTTATTTACTAATAATATTTGAGCAATCAATCTCTATATCAATCAGATGTATACAGTAGATCCTATATAGTAAAAAAATGTGCTAAATAAATAAATAATCTAAATTATGAAATATTTTATTCCCTAAATATGTCATTGTTTAAGCTGTAAAATTATCTAAATTTTATATCAAATTGTAAAATGAGAAATTGTTTATTTGACTTTTTTATATTTACAAAACTGAGGGAAAAAATGAAATTGTACAATTTTGTAAAAATATGTGTTAAAATAAGTTGCAACAAGCATTTATCTAGTAAGCAGATTGCTCAAGCATAATGAATAGGTAACCTATTTAAGGTTTAAGCAAGAATGTGGACATATTCTGTGCTGTTTTTTTCCTCTCTGTGCACAAATCTATGTTGTGCCCTATTCCCCACTGCTGCCGAGTTTTCTTTTGCATTCACATTCAGTTCGGCAACATCCAATCCTCCAGAGAGCCAGCATTGTCCTCCTGTGTGTCCCCTGGGTTTGCCATCACAGAGATGCATCTCTCACGCACACAATATAACACCCAGAAGATCTCCTTTTAAACGCTCGCACGCAATTTCAGGAAGATTAATTAAAACGCTATTAAAGCCGCTGCTGATTGTGTTGATTCTCAAAGACTTTGCAAATTATTCCACTTTTACTGAGGCCTTAAACACAACCGTCTCAATAGCCTTTCACTGATTTCGGCCACTGAATAATAAACATCTGTTATGTCATTATGCGCAGGAATAAAAGGGAAAGAGCATTTTGCAGCAGTTGATCTGCGACTGTAGTGTTACGAATGTATGAGCAGTGTGGGTTTATATTGACGTGGCTCAAGTGTTTTCAAAGGCCGTGGTTTGCTCTGCTGGACTTGAATGTGCAGTCTGTGGTGCATAAAGTGAAACATAAGGCCTGGCAATGACGCTTTGTCTAATAGGATACCAAGCCTGAGGCGTTAAGGGAAAAGCATGCATTGTGGATTAAAACAAAGAAAAATAAGAAACAAATTGATAGAAAGGCACACCCAACACCCAAAACAATAATGCATATTATCATTTTATAGCCCCCCCCCCCACCATGTTTTGCAAACTATAGTTAAACTGTTTTTAAAAAAAACAAAACAGTAAATTACTGTTGAAAATATGCAGTAAATCAATTTAGCATTTTTTTTCTAAAATATATTTCTGTCAAAATTTGCCAATTTTACACCACATCTGCTGTATTTGTTGAAAAGCTACTTCGAAATTAACCAAGTGACTTTTTTACTTATACATGGAAAAAAAAACATTATTGTAATCATGTGGGTCACAATACAAAGAAATGTCAAATATTTGAAAATCTATTATACCCACATAAGGTCATCAGAATTGCAAAATGTTGTCCCAACTAGTCAGACACAATTGTCAAGAAAAACAAATATTGTTCCACAATACAGCGCTTAGTGGTTAGTACTGTTACCTCACAGCAAGAAGGTCAATGGTTCAAGTACCGGCTGGGCCAGCAGACATTTCTGAGTTTGCATGTTCTCCCTGTGTTCACATGGGTTTCCTCTGGGTGCTCCAGTTTTCCCCACAAGTCCAAAGACAATCTGGTAAACTAAAATAGCCATAGTGAATGAATGTGTGTGTGAATGAGAAAGTGTATGTGTGTTTTCCAGTACCTGGTTGTGGATGAAAGGGCCACCACTGTGCAAGATAATGGGTGGTTCATTCCACTGCAGCGAGCCCTAATAAATAAAGATAATGAGTGAGTGTTTGCTGATCTATTATTATTTACTTTGGTTGCTGGTTTACTTTTTATATTCCCAACCTTTATATTCATTTTTGGAAAAAGAGAATAGTTTAAGGTGACTTGATCCAATAGTGAATCAGACTTTCCCAAAATTCATGAGAGAGAATCTTCTATGATGATGTGATTCACAAGGATCAAACTTCTCAAATCATGACACACTGAAGAGTCATTTAGGATGACCTCATTTAACAGAATGAATCAAGCTTCCCAAAACTTTATATAAAAGAGAATCATACATGGTAAAACAGAATAAAGCTGTTTTTCTAAACCTTTATAAAATGAACAGTCATTTAGAATTAACTGATTCAATAGAATCAATAGTAGTGTTGGGGTACTCGAACTTGGACTCAAGTCCAATTTTGATTGTCAAAGACTTCACAGACTGAATTTGTACTCACACTTGACTCAGACTTGGACGTTTTGGACTTGGAAAATATCACAAGTATAGTCGAGTCCACATCATCTATAACACAAATAAAGAGATTCAAAATTAATAAACAACAGCATGAAATTATAACAATAATTTAATGAACTCTCTGACTGTGAGAGTTTAAAATATTAATTTAACAGTTTAAACAATTGTTAACTGAAATTTTATTTGATTTATTATTATTATTTATTTATTTTTTATTTATTTATTTTTTTTAAATTTATGACTTAGGAGGCGCCATGGCTAAGTGCTTAGAACTGTTGCCTCACAGCAAAAAGGTCATTGGTTCGAGTCCCAGCTGGGCCAGGAATGTTTCTCTGTGGAGCTTGCGTGTTTCCCCGTGTTGGCGTGGGTTTTCTCTGGGTGCTCTGGTTTCCCCCACAGTCCAAAGACATGCGGTACAGGTGAATTGGGTAAACAAAATTGGCCGTAGTGTATGAATGTGTGTGTGATTGAGTGTGTATGGGTGTTTCCTAGAACTGAGTTATCGCTAGAAGCATAAAACA